TTTTTTTTTTTTATTTGCTTGCCACCTTCTTTCGTCCCGCGTCGATGTTTCATGATGCTTCTCTTCTGTTCGCTGCAAAGATACGACACTGAGTGTAAGCTGTATTTATGGATGCTCGTAAATCTAAAAACAACAGGATAATGATTTAGATTTAAATTTTGTAGACTGATATCATATTCGACTGATGGACAATAAGAAATAGAATGTGTATATTATAAGGTTGTATATTATGTATTATTATCTAGTATCTTCTAGTCTCTCATATTTCGTTCAATTTTTTTTTACGTTGAATAACATTTCGACATTGACTGATATCTTGATTATTTTTAAAATGATTCGTAGAACAGGTGTCTCGACGATTCTATTGCAATCGCGGTAGTATCGACGTTGGATCTAAAAATAAAGTCACGAGTGTTGAACATCTCAACTGACGCAACTACAAAACTCGCCAAGCTTTTCTCGGCAACGAATTACCAGTATCCGAACTTCTACGTGTCATCAAATGCATACGAAGTGTAATTCCTCTCGTGGTTTCTATGTTAATAAACCAGTGGACGGGGCGCATCCTACAGGTGCCTGAACGCGTTTCTGATGGAACGCATCGCGTAAAACGCGTATTTTCGGCGCACTTGGAGAAGCTCCAGGTGCGGAGGAGTATATGTGAGGAGGAAGTATATGTAAACCGTGATGAGGTAAAGAGAGAAGCTGGGTGGATGTAGTGGTGAAACCACGTGCGTAGCAAATTTTTCACAAAAATAAAATACATATTTTTAAAGTTATATACTGCACTATAAATATATTATATATCCTATCAATTTAGCATTGTCACATGCCTTTTTCAGTTAAATGACTAAATTGGAGCAAAAAATTGGAGTTGCAGACTACTTGTATTTCAAAAGATATGAATAAACACTATTCTCAATGGTTATCCAGGCTCGTGCCAACGAATGGAAAAAAGTATCTTGGAAATTAAAGAAGGGGACGTTTTTTTGGTCAATAAGGAAAACAGAGTCATTAAGTACAATCTTATTTCGTTTCGATCATTCGGGAAAGAATAAATGTCTCAGTGAGTGGGTCGGGTATCGTCTCGAAAAGTATCCGGAAACGCCTGGTCCTTTTTATAAATCAGCGTCGGTACCCTCCCTCTTTCCACGTCTATGTCATTTAGCGAGAAGTTTTCTGGTAGAAAAAAAGGAAAAAGTACGCGATCGCTGTTTAAAAGGCTCGTAGGTGGGTGGCTTTTTAGCTGAGGTATATACCGACGTAGGGAGAGGGCTTCGACTTCGCTCTTCGGCCTCGGTATGGGGTTGCCGTGCTATTTTCAGGCCGGTGGCTCGATGCAGCTGTCGTGTTCTTCGGGTAAATCACCTCTCTTCTATTCCACGGTCACTCACGAGACAAGGTAGAACGTATAGATCGGAATTCTAAATTCACGATTCGAGAATTCGTAAAGGATGACGTATCTTCGTTAATTCTGACGACCGCGATAGAAGATCGTGATAAAAGAAACATAGAACTATCAGAAGTTCGTTTTATCGTTTCTCGATTTATCGATTTATTTATTTTTTTTTTAATGCTCTTTTAGTTCAACCATTCTCTCTTCTTTCAGTGTTTCTGAAATCTTCCATTGCTGACAATTGAAATTTCTCATTTCGAATTAAGATAACAATTGGCAAAATTGAAAGTTAAGTATATTAATAAAAGACATGTGTTATTTGCCAATGTAGAACAAATTACTCTTTGGATTACAAAAGATTTTTGTAAGGAGTAAAAGACAACGGGAAATAGAAAAATAGAAATGAGAACTATGTAATTGATTGCCTTCAGCGAAGATACAGAAAGAAGTGCGTGCTGGAGAATGGAAGATTTGGATGAAGAAAATGACAAGATTCGAAGATCTTGGCAATGAGCCAGACGAGATTTTCAGCCGTCTACGTGTACTTCTAACTTTCATCTGTCTCCTCTTCTAGTTAACGTACATATCCTTTAGGACCTAGGGTGCAATGACACCGAGTTTTAGATGACAATTTCCTATTTACAGTATGTGAGTCATTGTATGCATATACGAGTTCTATGTAAAGTTGCTCTTATATAAATTCTTAAATTTTCAGTGTAATATGAAAATTTAAATTATTAATTTATTCAATTTGTATTGAACACTCCAATCAAAGGCCGTGAATCCCGAGGCACAAAATAAAGACAGAAAAAGAAAAAGGAGAGTATTAGAAGGTCAAGATATGTCGACCGGAACGACCCTTAATTTAGTTTCGGGTGCAAGAAATTAACACAGAGTGGGGATGTCCGTGGAAGTGCTCCTACAAGGGGAGAACACATACGAAGCACGTTGGTTCATGTTTGGAGGAATGTCTTTGGGTATAAAGAGAGACAGTTCCTTCCGGAGACAGCGAACAGCCGCCTGTTTCACCCCTCTCACCCTTCCGATTTGTTCCCTTTCTTTACGTCGTTCTTCTTACGATTCATCGTCACATTTTTTTGTCATTTTTCTTCTATCAAGAATGAACTCTTACAAGATTTTTCACAGGAGTCTTACCAATTTTATTAAAATCAATTCGTATAATATATTTGATATTTTTATCATATACGCACACCATGCTAAGATAATAATCTGATAATCAGGTTCATGAAAAAAAGGAGTAATAAAATTTATAAAATACGGAGTAATAAAGTTTATAAAAAAGATGTAAGTATAGTTCAGAACTGATCAGACTGTAAAACTAGCTGGTTTCGCAGGTGGTAAGCAGGCATGCGAATCTAAAAGGGGTCACACACACGAGCACGTGCTCGCATTTTGCAAAACCTTTTGAAAGGCGGAGGCGATCAGCTGGCAGTATTCTCTCTTCCTTTTCCCCTCTTATCTCTTCCAGCGGCGAGAAAAAAAAATTAAAAAGGATAAAAATGAGCATACACCCCCTTCGTCCGCACCCGCATCCTGTGCCAGAGCACAGTGCTGCTCTCGTAAAAACCGGCCCGTCGGTTTCCATTCAAAATGCGCGAGTCACGAGGGCTCATTCACAAATTTCACGACGAAATTCTACACTCGGCCAGACTGTCTGCGATCTTGATCGAGACAACAGAGACAAGCGATCGGAATATCTTTTTTCTTGAAACCTC